TATATAATCAACTAAATAATAGTAACTAGATAATAAAATTAGAAACATAATTAAACTAAATAAATAGTAGTTAAAATTAATAGGAAATAATTTAAAAAAAAAATGAATTATAGACACCTCATTAATTAATTAAAGTTAAAATTAACATACATTGAACAAGTAAGATGAGGTTAGGGACACCTCACCAATAAATATAGATAAGAATGACTTAAAGTAAACAACTAAAATAATGTAAAAATTTTAAAGAGATAAAAGTCTCCTCCCACATACCTTAATAGAAGAGTGAAACTGTTTAGAGAAAAATCAAGTAAAAGGAATTTTCATACTTTTCTTCCTTTTGCTCTTTCTCTTTTTTCTTTCTCAATTTTCCTTCTCATATTTTCTTATCTGAAGGCCTTCCCCCACCATGTCTATTTATAGGAAATTTGTAATGATTACTATTTTTTTCTTCTAATTTTTAGTTAAAATTGAATAACATGTCATTACATATAGATAATCTCATTTCTTAGAGATAGGGTTCTGTACCCCAGCAAAAAAAATTCAAAATAATTTTATTACTTATATTTTATATTATTAAACATTTAAGATTTAATAATTTAAATATTTATACTTCATAATAATAATGTAATTAAAATATTATTATAAAAAATATTATAAATAGAATTTTCAAATTTTATAATATAATTAAATATTATATATTTACATTTTTTTACTGGGAATATTGTAATAAAAATTTTAAAGTATTACAATTATATAAAAATATTGTACTTAATCTCTATTTATGTTAAGAATAAAATAGTAATATTAAAATTTAGAAAGCTAAAATTATATAATATTATAATTGAACATTGTATTAAAAATTTGAAATGTTACAAACAATTTTTGAAAAAGATACCGAAATAAACTTTTTCAAAAATTACATGAAATAAAATAGTTTATTTTTAAATTTGAGAGAATAAAAACAAACTTATTTCATATTTAAGAAACTATAAATATATTTAAGTGTAAAAAAACACAATAAGGGGACAAAACGAAGATTTTAAAGAAAATGTTTTTCATATTTCTATTCTATTTCAATATAATTTAAACAACTCAAATAATGAAATTTAATAAAAAGAATTATTCTAAGGTATTTCATTCCACCTATGTCCATCAATTTACACTGCCAACATCTTTAACACAATATATTTATTAGGTGCATGTACAAGAATACCTAGCCCCCTAGCTAGAGATTTTAAATCCCTTCTAGCACCAATTCAAGATGTTAAATGTCTCACGTTTACTATAAATATAAATATAAAAATATTTATACGAATTGGACAAGTCATCCTTCTTGAGTCAGTTTCTGAAAATGAATTAAATCCACTTTGTCTCTAATGTGGTATGAAAGCCCAATAAGTATTAAAGTTAGATCATCTACATTCGTCTATTTCTATAAATTCCGCACTCAATTTTCAATCTTGGGTATAAATGGAGTGCATTTGCGTTGTGAAAGAATATGCTAGGATACTCCTTAAAAGACTCAACAATTCTCCACCCTTGAACTAACTTGCGTTGAGTCATTTGTTGATACAAACTTCACACTCAATTTCCAATCTTGGGTATAAATGGAGTGTATGGTTAAGATACTCCTTAAAAGACCTCAACAATTCTCCTCCCCTAGTTCCCTTGAACTAACTTTGCGAGTGAATTGTCTAGTCATTTTTTCAATACATGGTAAAATTCAATATTCGATGTATTCCATCTACGAAGGAATCAGCAATCAAAAATAAATCCTGAAAGTAACTTTTGGAATCAGGTTTTAGGACAATAAAACTGGAAACTCTGAACTTCTCTGGTAGCCAGAATAGTAAGTTAAATGTGTTGGACTCCAATAACAAATCTTATATTATAACCCATCAAGGTATATTCTATTAAACCAAAGCAATACATTGATCTCATCATGTTCTGACAATTACATTGCTTACCTCAAAAATGCCAGACCCAAACATTTAGCCAGAGATTCTACAAAGCCAAGTTCGTCTTCATGTTGCATTAGTTATCATAACTAGTGAAAAGAAAATGCCCTTGCGTCTTTTTAAATACAACTAATAAAAGTAGTGTGCTAATTATTGTTATTCAATAACAATTTTAAAAATAAAACATTTACATCAAAAGACTTTGCAACCTTTAATTATAATTGTCGTGTAATTTACCATTTTATTTTGAAGGATGAAAATTGTAAAAATAATGTGACCACGAAATTAAAGAATCATCTTTATATGAGTATATATATAAATTTGTCAAAATTGAAAATTGAATTCTTTAGGAGATGGTTATCTAATGACAACGCAGTTCAAATCAGAATATTGATTCAATCATGTTCTCATGCCCTAACCACAATGAATAGAAAAAGATGAAACTATTTTAAACATTGGCCACTCAGTACTTCAAAATGCTAAGACTATTGTGTTTTGCTACTTCAAATTCGAATGGGGAGGCAGAAACATTGCCCGCAGCACTGATGATGAGATCTGAATCCATTGAAACGATCATCTGTAATCACCATATATTCATTGTATGACATCATTTTCAACTATGAAATTTGCCTTATCAAAATCAACAATATCCATGCCAGTAGAACATTACTGTCAAAGAAGAAATTTCCGCGTCTGCTGATATAATCAACTAGTTTCCCTTAAAGCTAAACACATGGCATGTGATGCACCAATTGCAATTGATAAAACGTTGTGGGGTCCTAATCCATCATCTTCCATTAAGAAATTGACCTCAATAGGGCATGGTTGAACCGGTGGTAGCCCAGGAACTCCCAACTGAGAATCATTAGCATTTCCCCACATGTACAACTTCCCATTATCTGTTCAGAACCAAAAAGAGCATGCTTAGTTTTGCAGTACAATGATTTGAAATTTTATTTTGGAAACAACTTCTCATGATAAAGAAAATAAGAAATCCCAATTAAATTTTGTCAAAAAACCTTTTTGATTAGCTCTCAGCCTTTTGATTTATATTCATATCATTGCATAATTTAATCCCCAATTTTTCATGAATTAGATGAACTATTTAGAACAAATGTCAACAATTTTTTTTTATCTCAATCTACACTAGCAATTAAGATAATTAGAAAATAGGGAAGTCTCAACATTTTCCCTAACACTTAGTTTTGACGAGTTGAAATTGGAAGGAAAAAATGTTCAGGAAAGAAATAGAGGTAATTTTAACTGAAACTGTGTTCTTTGGATGAGTGAAATTAAGAAAGAAATAAAGAGGATTTATTTTCGATTATTTGGTTAGTGGAAGAAAAGAAGACAATAATGGTAAAGACCTACCCTTTACTTAATATTTCTTGTAACAAATTAAGAAATCCTACTAGTGCGATCAAACAAAAAATGAGTAATTGTGTATGAACAAAAGTAAAGAGATAAGTGCTATATTAACTTTTGGGATGTAAAGCAAGAGAAAGACACATGAAGAACAATAACAAGAACAAACTAACACTGAAAATCCTTATTGAAACTATTGCTTAAATGTATGACAGCAAGTATGTCTTAGTTGAACTTCATGCTGGGCAACATAAAACATGGAATAGTAGCTCTGCATTGTAAAAACAGTCCCATTTCACGTTTTAGTGTGGGCCCAGTCCCACAGATTTTTTTGGCCATCATCCCTCCTTTTCTACTCATCCAAACTAGTGAAATTAGACATATCCCTCTAAAATCACTCCTTCCCGTTTCTCTATTTCTCTTCCTAATTCAATGTATCCAAAGGGTAAAAGCTGGAGCATATATATCATATGCTGTATGCATCAGAGAGACTCGGTAAGAATATTATCTAATTGATCATTAGAAGTCACAAATAAATCTGTGATTTCTTTGGAGAATCTTTTTCCAATAAAGTCATAATCAATCACGATTAGTTCACTGATGGAACGGGTTGCAGCGAACAGGCAAAGCATCCTGATTACCAGAAATAATACCCATATACCATATTGTGCAAAAGTTCAACTCCGAGAGTAGTGTTAGCCACACGAGATCACATGCACTAAGGGTCGTAATTCAATATTCTGCTTTTGCATTTGTTCTAGCAATGACATTTTTCTTTTTACTTTTCCATGAATGAAATGAGAATGCCTCCAATAAGAACATAATAACCTGAAGTTGACTGTCTCACTAGGACAGTCTGCCCAGTCTGCATCTATATGCAAAATATAAGTGCAAACTCTATTCTCGGAATAATCCATGACAACATGTATCTCAAGATTCTAACAACTGTATCTCAATGGGTATAATAGGGAGAGTGAAGAAACAAACTGTTAGATATAATTTTATCTTATAGTTTTTATCTTATAGTGTTATGAGAAGAAGGCACATACATTCTTATTATAGTAGGGAGCTTATGGATAAACTCCAAAGACTCCAACAAAAGACTATGAGTGTGGAGGAATATAGACAAAAAATGGAGTTGTATTTAATGAGGGCTGGGATAAGGGAAGAGGAGTGATTAACCATAGCAAGATTCTTAAGTGGTCTTAACTTTGATGTAAGAGATAAAGTTGAATTACTCCCTTATAGGGACCTTAATGACTTGGTCCAACTTTGTATAAGGGTAGAGCAACAAAAACTTAGAAAATCTTCTAAAAATATAAACTCTAAATCTTATAGAAAGGAAGATCTCAAGAGGGAGGGAAGTTCATTCAAGAGTTACTCTAAAGAAAATCCTTCTAAAACTCAAGAATTTGAATAAAATGTGGAAAAGAAAAAGATCACCTCACACACTAGTTCAAGGACAAGTGAGATCAAATGTTTCAAATGTCTAGGTAGAGGCCACATTGTCTCTCAATGCCCCACGAAAAAGACTATGATACTTAAGGGTAAAGACATCTATAGTGAAGAGTCCTCATCTTCTTCATCTGCTTCTAGTGAGAGTGAAGAGGAAGCTAATGATCATGAAGAGAAAGTAGAAAAACTTTATCCTATTGATGGTGATCTTCTTATGGTCAAAATGCTTCTTGGAAGTCAACCTTGTCCCACTTCATCATCACAAAGAGAGAACATCTTTCATACAAGATGTTTAGTTTCCAAAAGATCTTTTTCTCTCATTGTTGATAGTGGATCATGCTCTAATTGTTGTAGTACAAGGTTGGTTAACAAGCTAGCTCTCACCACCATTCCTCACCCTCAACCTTATAAACTTTATTGGCTCAATGAAGGTGAGGAATTGGAGGTAAGTCAACAAGTGAAGGTCAAGTTTTCTATAGGGGATTATAAAGATAAAGTGTTATGTTATGTGATCCCTATGGAGGCTTGTCATATTTTGCTAGGTAAACCATGGAAATTTGACGAACATACTATACATGATGGTCTTACTAACAAAATATCCTTCACTCATAAAGATAGAAAAATTGTTTTTAATCCTTTAACACCACCCCAAGTGTTTGAGGATCAAAAACAAATGAAAAGAAAAAGAAAGAAAGAAAGAAAATAGAAGGAATTATTAGGGAAGAGTGAGGATGAAGGGGCCTCCTCTAAAGAAATTGTGATTAAAAAAAGTTACTTTATCACCAAACAACCATTGAAAAATACTCTCTTTATTCATAAAGGTCTTGACTCTTACCCTAATGCTGCCATTGATCTTGAAGTTGAGAAACCTGTTCTTGAAAATTGTTTAGTGAAAAAGGAGTGGACTATAACTAGTCCTACTTCTTATACTACTTCCTTGGAAGTGCTCAAGGAAAAAATTATTTCTGTTTTTAGGACTCTTTCTTCTTTAGTTGTTCTAATAAAGCACCCAATTTTTTGTTTATATTGTTTGGTGGATACCACTTGTAGTGTCCTATACTCTATGTTTGATCTTAAGGGAAATTTATCTTCAATAAAACTTAATTCGACTCCTTCCCTACAAGACAAATATAATTTATATGAGTTTTCAAAACCCCATTAGACACTATCTTCTCATGACCATCTAACAAGCAATAAAATCCAAAATTATTTAGGAAGTTTTCTAGTAATATTTTCTTTATTTTTTAAGAAACTTCTAGGTCACTATTTAGGGTACCTTAGACAAAATGTTTTAGTTTTTAGGAATAACATTTCCAATTATTATAGTTATAGTTTTATCACATTTTTAGGATTTAGTGACATTCATAGACTTTGTTTAGAAGAGGATCCTATCCCTATCTTTAGAGAGTCTAATGTCATTAGTATAAATTTCTTTGCCAGGCTTTATAGATGGATCCCTCTTAGGGTACAACCTCCATTTCCACCATTTGAACCTATCACCTCTCAGACTTGGTGTTTTGTTTATGTAGGTAATGATATTTATCATAGAGACCCTCGTGATTTGAGGACAAATCCTTTTCAAGAGGGAGGTGATGATAGAATCATGCCTAGGAAGTCAAGAGGTGATACCTTGAAGGAACCAAGAGGAATGGGTGGAGGAATATAGACAAAAAATGGAGTTGTATTTAATGAGGGCTGGGATAAGGGAAGAGGAGTGATTAACCATAGCAAGATTCTTAAGTGGTCTTAACTTTGATGTAAGAGATAAAGTTGAAACAATGTTTTCTGCATGCCTATGTTTTTTGTCTTATTTCTCAAAGTGCCAAAACAAATTAATCATTATCAAAACTCAAATGATATACAGAAAGAAAAAAATTATTATCGAACTATAAAGTTGAGTAGATTAGTTGGATATCAATTATGGATGCTATAGCATGGTATGAGAGTTGTTCATTCTTTTAGAAAGTGAACTAGTGTGTTGATCCATGCACTCGCTCAGGTCACATTTATCTATATATATAAAGGAAGTGAATGTAGTAACAAATTAAAAAAAATTATCTATATAAGTATTGACTATCTATTTAGTTGCATATTAAAACAATGTTCTTATGCAAACAGCTTGTTTTGATGTATTTTCATCAATATTTTGTAGTAAAAATACAAGGAACTTTGGTTTTTTTGAAAAAAGTTACTAAAATATTTTTCCTCTAGAAAAATACAGAATTAAAATAAACAAATTAAAATATTAATCAAGTGAAAGAATGTGTACTATAGAGAAATGAAAAATACAGAACGTATATAGGTGCGTATAGAAGAAAATCATGATATATTGTCACCCTTGGAAAGATGTTTTTGGGCGTCAAATGAAAAGCAATTGGAGGCAACACATGCCAATGAGAATAATAAGTAAAATAGCAAAGAGGCAACCCGTGCCAATAGGTAAATATATAAATAACATTTCATTTCTTAAAACGTTGTTACCTCTATTAAAAGCATTGAGTGAAGGTGATCTCATTTTCCTGTCGCCCTATAAATATTATAACAGAAATACAACTTAAATTTATTTTTAAGCTTATAATTTATTTTTAGTTTTAATATATTGTTAATTAAAAAAAACCTTAGATATAATATTTAAATTAATTATTACAAATATCAACAATTTTCATTTATATAGCGCTTATTGATTGGGTGATAGTATAAAAAACTTTTCACAGTATTCACATATTATAATTAAATCATCCATTTTTTATATTTTAACATTTTAATTTTAATCATCATAATTTTATTTTGTTTTAAGTTTTAGTCTCTAAAATTTTTTATATAAATTTTTTTGATAATAATTTCATTTAGTTTTAAGTTTTACTCATAATAATAATGATAATAATAATGACAGTTTTGGTGTTTGTAGTGATAAAATCAAATGTGGAAAGAATGAGGGTAAAGATGAAGGTGCAGCGTGCAGGAAGAGAAGGATATTGCATTCATTATTCAGAGCAGTGCAACAAGAACTTGAAATAGAGATATCTAAAATCAGTGTTAACCAAACCATATTAGTTATCCACTCAATAAAACAACTGAT